CTATAAAAGCAGCTTGAAACTGAGGGTCGGGGCTCAGGTTTTGGGAGGCTACTCCACCCAGACTTCCAGGATGAACACCTTCAGTTTTCCTCTCAGGCTTTGGTACCTGTTCTGAGTGCATTCATTCCTGTTCCCGGTGAGTTGTTGCAGTTGCTGTAACAATATTAGTTCTAAACAGACTCATTTCTGAGTCTGAGGACTCTAAGGAATGGAATCTGAGTCCCCTTTTCTAAGATTAGCCCATTCTGTCTTTGGATGATCCAAAACCTTGGGAAAGAAAATAAAAACAGAAGGTAAAAATCTAGCTCTACTATCATCAGAATTTACCTAGACCCCTTTGACAAATGTAATATAACATGTGGCCTCCACATTTTCTTAGATAAGGACTGGGAACGTCTAAAGTTTAACACTAAGGAAAGTTTATACGACAGCTTTGAGGGGCCTTTCCAGCTCTCTTCTTCCAAAGAGCTGCTGTTTCAAATGAGTCACTTTTGCAGTGAGGCCCCCACAACAGAGCTCTTTTCCTGTTAAGCTGTGGTGAGTCAAAACCTACTTCAGAGAATACGAAGCCACCACTCTGGGGGGCTAAGAAAAGACATGCGTTTCATGTGTTTTTAGTTGTTAGAAAAGAAAGAAAACCTCAAACTACTGAACTAGATAGAAATACCTGTGTGTGTGTGTGTGTGTGTGTGTGTGTGTGTGTGTGTGTGCGCGCGCGCGCACGCACGCATTTTACTCTGGGTTCAGCATTTCATAAAGGAACAATCTCATTTCATTTTCAATAACCACATTCAAAAGTTTTTTATATTTTTAATGTTCCAAGTGAGGCTAAAATAAATTCAAGGTTCCTAAAGGAACGGTCAATATCTCTTCCCTGGAATGATTAATTAAGGCATATAAGCTACAATCTTATCTTCAGAAAATTCCAAAGCCATCTTAGTTCTTAGAACTGCTCAAACTTAGAGGGGTGAAAGTGCTAGTGATATCACTACTAGCTGATGGCATCAGGGCAACTCAGGATGCCCCAGTGTTTTCTCCTCTCCCTTTGTGCTCTCACCCTGGTATCTAGAAGGGTCCAGTGACAGAAATGAAAGGTCCAGCAAACGTCTCATGGCCCTTGGAACTGGCACAGTTGATGGCTGAAGCCAAAAGAAGAGGGAAAGAACAAGGAGGATTTCATCCTGAGTGTGGGAATACAGACTAGCAGCCAGAGGAAGGCCACATGCCCCTGACTTTCTCCATGTGGTACCTGGCCAGAAACCTGGCCATCCAAAGCAGATGAATGCATAAAAGAGCTTTGTGGGGACAGGTGACATATTTGAACCTGGAACTTTGGTCTTGTTCATTAATTTATTAGACAAACATTTACTGAGTATTGTCTAAACAACAACTTTCGCTCTGGTGACTCAGCAGTTTCCCTTGGCCATCCCCTAACTCCTGGTAATTCCAGGGACCAAAATGAATTAGGATGCATTTATTTTTCCTCTGTAGCCTCCAACTTCCCTTGGACAGTCTACTCAAAGCTAGATAAACATTCACACGCACTCAGGAGGCAACACTGATATAGATTCACTACTCCTAAACATGCACCCACAAACCCAAGCTGAGAGACACTTGCCTTCTGATTAAGGTGATTCAGTCAACAATAGCTGTTGCATGCCTGATACATGCCAGGCCCTGGGTGAGGGGATTTGGAGAGACTGAAAAACAAGGTCGAAGAGGCCCTGTTTTTGGACTGCATTCCAGTGAAAGATGCTATTTTTTTCCCCGAGTCAGGGTCTCACTCTGTTACCCAGGCTGGAATAGAGTGGCATGATCACAATGCTCATGGCTCACAGCAGCCTCCACCTCTTCAACTCAAGAGATCCTTCTACCTCAGCATACTGAGTAGCTGACACTACAGGTAAGAGCCACCACATCCAGTTACTTGCTTAACTTTCTTTGTAAAGCATGAGGTTTCACTATGTTGCCCACGCTGGTCTCAAACTCCTGGGCTCAAGCTATCCTCTTGCCTTGGCCTCCCAAAGTGCTGAGATTACAGGTGTGAGCCACCATGTCCAACCCAAATATTTTTAAAGTGGTCGAAAATAATATAATCACAAGTTGTAACTATCAAGAAGAAAGAAACAGCAGCAATAAAATGAGAAAATAGGGCTCTACTCAGGATAATGGAGGAGGTGGCACTTGAGCCCAAGTGAGGAACCTGGAGACGTGCATTTCTGGGCCAGAACAGAGCCATGTGGTGAGGATGACAGCTCAGGTATTGTCTCTGACTGAAAAGGAGACATGCAGCCAGAGCTGGAGGAGGAAAGGGGTGAAAAGCGGTTTTGTGTGGTTTGATGGGTTGTCTTTTAATGAAAGGGGATACGCGACATATGTATATACTGCTGGGAATGATTTCATAAACAGGGGCAGTTGCTTGAGGATTCAGAGGAGAGAAGATAATGTTGAAAGGGGCAGAGCAGGGAAGAGGGAAAGTGAGTCTAGTGGGCAAACGATCGTCCTCCTTCCACACTGGAGCCGATGCAAGGACGATGTTTTGCAAGATCCTGTGGGTGGAACTGTGTTTCTGTGCAGAAGGGAGGTGACAAGTTTGGAGGAAGGCAGGTGGTTGGCTTGCAAGAAGAAGAAAAATATGACATAATTGACTTGAAAAGTGAAGAAATACTCTCACTAGGGAACTGAAGTAATGGGCAGTGTCAAATGACCATTTGAGATCTGTGATCATTCATGAAAAGCAGAGGTTTTCAGCCAGGGATGATTTTGTCCCCCTTACCCACACAAGGACATCTGGCAAATTCTGGAGAAATTTTTTGGTTGTCACACTTGAGAGAGGAGAGAATGCTACTGGCATCTAGAAGGGATACTACAATGCACAAGACAGCTCACAGCAAAGATCTATGCAGCTCAGAATGTCCACAGTGCCAAGGGTAAGAAACCCTGATGGAAAGTGATATCACATCTGTGTATGGACCATCTCTGCAAGACTATATTAGAAGACAGTGATCCTCTCTTGAGGCAAACAGGGTGGGAAGAGGATTTATTTTCACCCTATGTCCTTGAGTACTTTTCAAACTTGTTCCATGTATGTGTATTAGCTACTCAAATTAGTCAAAAGACAGAAATAAATCATTGACACATCAATAACTGATTGATCAATTTAGATAGAAAATAGATACAAAATAAAATGAAACCAGTCAGTCAGTTTGGGCAATTTTTCCCCAGCAATACTCAGTTGCAGAAACGACAGACTTGAAAAAATAGGATTTTCACAAGGGAAACATGGTGGAAGTAGTTTGTATTTTTGATCTGAGGGTCTCTCCAAGGTTCTGGTTGAAACGACAGATGATGAAATCTAAGCTGGACCAAGAGAGGACATGAGGGAGAAATTGGTGGATATATAAGAAAATAATAGAGTTTATTAATTAGAGAGCTCAACATTTTACAAAATACTTAGGAAAGAAAATGTTGGACCAATTGAGCTGGAATAATAGGGGATGATGTGAAAATAAGATATCTGAAATCAAATTCCAAAGGCAGTATTATCATTTCTAACAATAATAGGAAGAGGCTGTAACTGTGAGCAGTTGAAGCAAAGAGGAAAGGGCCATTGTGAGTGACAAGCATGTGAATGCAAGGAACCCTTGTGCTTAGATAGGTTCCACAGATTAGTAGCTTCTTTTGGAGAAGGAAGTGCCTCTAACAGAATGCCTGATTAGTCATGGTTGATACCATTTTTTGACATTCTATTATAATCTGATACTTTATGTACTTATTAGCTCTTTTTTTGTCCAAGAAAGCTCAAAGTGACTTGCTCAGAGATTGCCTAGTTAGTATATGAAAGAACAAAGATTTAAATCTAAATTTCTTAGTCCAGAGGCTGTGCCTTTTTCACCACGCCACAGCTCTACTCCAGGAAAAGAAAATTTGTCATCAAATCTGTGGAAAGTTGGGTGAGCTTAACACTGGTAATAATACTGGTAATGGAAACTCTAGGAGGTGAAAAGGAAAGAGAATAGAAAGAGACAACAGTCTGGCAAAGATGGAAAGATTTGCTTTATAGTTCTTCTGAGCCAGATAAATTATTTTTAAAGTGATCTAAAGTCACACTGAATGAAGAAACCATGGAGGAAAGAAATAACAAGCAAAAGATTCAAATCTTAGTGATTTCCAAAAATTATCTTCACAATATTTACCTCTATTCTAAAATATAGTTTTTAATGCATGTTTTATTTTCATTAAAAATGTATATAAATATTGATTATATTATAAGAAAACAATATCAGTAGCTGACAATCAAAGATTCTTGAGGAACATTAGAGTTGATCGCCAAGAAGCATTCAAAATCTACCACCAACTGTAACTCATATTTTCCTAATATGTACTTCACAATCTCTACATTCTCTCTACTTGTGTGACTCTTTAGTTATACACACACACCACACATGTATACACACACACACACACACACACACACACACACACACACACACACCCCTACAATTGCACTGGAAATGCACATGCTGTATAGGGAATGGGCTGAGTCATAAAAAGATCCCTTTTGCTTCTCTGTTAATATCACACCTAGTGGTCCAAGCTATGCATTTAGGAGTGAAGATCCTGCCAATGGGCATGGGCCTCTTTAGCTTATTATGCAAGCCTCTAGTCCTCCTTCTCTATCCCTTATTCACTCATATCATAACCATGTTTCTGCAAGACAGCCTCCCCTGAGGTAGCGAGACCCACTCCAAGAAGTGAGTTAAAAGATGCCCTTTTCAACGTGCCGGCATGCTCTTGACCACTGATGATGAGTGTAGAACATTTGGTAGCTGCTATTCCATGCCTGGGCATCTTCGTGTAGCAGCCCAGAGCTTCATGTTCTTCGGTCACATTTCTCCTCTCCTCTGGTTTGTGGGCCTTAGGTGAGATGAGGGGCTATACCTTGGTTCATGTCTGCTTGCTTGACCTCAAGTGAGTTTGAAAAGACCCTCACTCAGGACAACACTCTCAGTGCTCGTAGTAAGGAATCATGATGGAAAGAATCCCAAAGTGCTTTTCTTAGAGCTTATATAAGCCAAAAAATGTCTTGGATTCCTCAAAATTGACCAGAGAGGGATCAGATACGTTGACATATAAATGATCTGCACTGACGAGACTGAATACTGCCCCCAAGTAGCTGCTGCGGGCCCACATCTGTCCAGGAGTACAGTAGTTCATCATCTTCCCCTCCATCATCACCAGATCCGCAGGGTACTTAGAGTTCCTCATGTAGACTTTGTGGCTCAGGGGCCAGTTGTTGCAGGACTGACCCCGGAAATACACTTTGGAATACACAAAGTACAGTCCAGTGTCATTGATCACAAGGCCACCCTTCCTATACTTCACTCCAGAGAGCAGGGCAAGGCCGTAGGTGTCTTCCCATTCCAGAGGGATGGACCTCGAGCTGGGTGTGCCTGAAATAAATCAGAAAGGAGTTTTTAGTCAGAAATGCTCATGCATCTGACAAACTAAGTTTCTAAGGCAAAACAGCAGGAACTTCCTTGAACTCATGTTTTACCCAGAATGATATAGCCCATGTAGAACTGGCAGAGGGGTTAGAACTCAATCCATCACTGAATTTTTTCAACACCATTGTCCAATTATATCATTCACACAATTGGGACAAATAGCATATGCTCCTAACCAATCACAGTAAGAAATTATTGAGATAATTTTAACTCTCTGGAACAAAGATTTTATAATCTTCAAAACTAGCACCAAAACTACTAGGCTTTTAAGTAGGAAGGAAAAAGCCACATCCAAGGAACTCTAAAATTCTAAAGTGGGAAGGATCTTAGGAATTATCTGGTCCATCTTCTCACCTACAGAAAGGAATCTTCAGCTCCTCAATTTGGACTAAAATCACTTTCCCTTGTATGCCACATCATCATATGCAAACCTTGATCAGAGTACTCTCTCCAGTACAGAAGCGATTGCAATGTGCTTGTCTTTCCCCCCTAGATGCCAAGTTCCTTGGAGGCAGGAGCCATATAGTACTCATCTCCTTGTCTAAAAAGTTTGGCACACAGCAGGTGCTCAATAAGTATTGCTCCAACTAGATTACTCTACAGTCTCTACCCAAATAATTCCAGGGACAGTGGCATATCACTTAACATGACCCCAACCACTTTTTAGTTACTTAGCAAGTTTATGGTATGAGTGCCCAGGCCATATTGCTATTGAATCATTTCACTCCACTCTACAAGCACATGCTGAAAGTTCACAGTACCAGGACTGAGTCTCTCTCTCCTCTGGTTCTACTTTTGGACAAAGCAGAGTGAAGCTCTTCCTGAAAATCAGGGAAGCCTGACTAAAATAATTTCTTGTTTCCCATCTTCTCAGCTCTCACCTCTTGGACCTGTGCCCCAAATCTTCTTTGGAATGATTGAGTCTTTGGAATGATTGAAAAGGGTGATCTCCTTATGGGCAGAGGTCATGTAATAGTCAGCTCCAGATCTCCAGTTTAGAAGAAGGCCTTAGCTAGAATAGGCTCTCAAATATGTTTTTGAGATGGACCTGACTAGAAAGATGTGAGTATTCTTGGACTCCAGACACTGTCAACAGAAAGTAATTCCCTCAGAGCCTGGTCATGGAAACCACCCAGCCATCCTGCCTTTTACCAAACACTTTTCAATAAAACCCACCAGTGCCCTGGAGATACAGACCTGTTAAATGGGCCACTTTCCTCGGCTCCTTTTTTTCAGGGGGTGGACTGGGATAGCCTGTATTATAGAGAAATGAAAAATACATGTAAAAATGAGATACCAACTATTATTTTGGTGGGACTCTAAATTCTACCACCTTATAAAATAATTGTTAAACCATAAATGGCAACAGTCTAATATATACTAATTATGCAAGTCCAACTGTAGGATTCACAGCAGTCTATTTCAGAAACAGAAAAGTAAAAGGTAAACTAAATTAAGACATACATATGCATAATTTATATCGTTACAGTAAAACATGATTAATACAGAGATTCATAAAGAGCAGTCATATCAGTTACTGCATTTAGAACACACCACAACTCTGTGAGGTAGGGATTATTGTCCCACCTTACAGATGTCAAAATGAGCTTAGAAGTTGCATGACTAGCCCAAGAAGACCCAACTACTCAGTATCAAAGATGTAAGTGACACCCTAGGCTTCCTCCAAATCTAGGGCTCTGTTCACACTGGCTCTGCTGCCCCCAGGACTCTGCAGACTGAAGAAGACTGCCAAGCCACCGGCTGACTACAGTCTTTCCCCACAGCATCCTGCAATCAACCCCAAGTTAAATATCCTAAGGCCTGAAACAGTGACCTCCTATCACAGAGGTCCCAAACCCCTTTATGGTGTGGGTTGGCTCCTCCTTGAACATGTAGATGGGTGCAGTTTCCCCCATCACACAGTGCCAGCCCACCTGTCCAGACTTACTTTCTCACCCACGTACACTGGGCACTGGGCACTGCCACAGAACAAGAGTTCTGCGGTCTGAACACACCCCACTTCCCTGCCTCTGTGTCTTTGCTCATGCTATGCCCTCTGCCTGGAATGTCCTCCCAAGCTGATCTCTGTGTCAAATTCTTAAAAATCCTGTGAGGTCCATCTGCAGTGTTTCTTTCTTAGGCGAACTCTCTTAAGCCTTTTTTATAAAGTATGATCTTCCCCTCCTTTGAAGGCTAGATCACCCTGTTTTCACCTCTCTCATTTCCTATGGTAAGTGTATAGCTTATCTGATTCCCCTCTGGTAATAGCAAGTTCCTTTCAAATGCAGAACTCACCAGACAGTTTCTCCCAGCTTCTAACACAGGACATGTTACTAGTAAGTTTGCCAACTTAAACTGAAAAAGTTAAAAACAACAATAGCTCTCAAAATAGACACTATTTGTCTGATTTCAAATATTTCAGACAAGATAGAGAGCTACCATTTAGCTAATGAATTCAGCTAAGACATTGAAGAAAGACTTCTAGAAAGGTGTTTGTCTATGTCGGGTTCATAATAAGCCTGTGAAACTCACATACGGCATGAAAATGGCCCAATCCACTGAGAACATTGCCTGACCTCGGAAGTCACCCAAGACGACCACCATGGGTGAGGTGTTAGTGAACAGGAAAGGCAAAACTGAGTCTCCTCTGCATTCCTTCAGCACAAACCACCCAAGAAGCTCATCTGGCATTCAGCCACATGCTGGCAGGAAATGGAAGAGAACCACATGTTGCCTATCTTCACAGCTCCTCCAGAGACAAGTACCACATTATCCTCACTAAGAATACCCACTGCATTAATACTGGAATAAATAAACCAGAAGCAGATCCCTGACGTTGGCAGTGACTGTTTCCTAACTCAGGGCCTTTGCCTGCCTGTAATGAGGTGTCTGCCATTCCCAGTGCTGGAATGATCCCTGCACTCCTAGCCCAGCCCACTCAACACACACACACACACACACACACACACACACACACACACACACACACAGCCCTACATTTGGCAGCCTCCAATCCCCAGGTGTCAGCGCACACAGCATCTGCTCAGAGGGGCCTCTCCGCCACCCAACACCTGGCCTCACACCTAGGATGCTCTCCAAGAACATCTGGGAATGAATAAAATATTTAATTACTGAACTGTGGGGAAAATGGAAAAAGGAGCAAATAAGAAAGTGTAAATAATCTTTCATTGTGCCTCCCAGAGAAAATCACTGTTAGTATGTTGGTATATAAAACCTAGTTCCTTTCAAAGAATATAAAAAATGCATATATGCTTCCATGGTCAGCATTAAACTAACATACCCTTTTGTGATTTGCCTTTTACCCAGCAATACAGAGTGCACAATCTCTATGGCACCAAATTTCCTCCTGTTAGGCGGTTTTGTTGTTGCATGTCATGCTCTCCTCCAAAGATATCACAATGCAAAATGACCAACATTCTCTTATGAGGCAATTAGGTCTCACATTGAAGCAATGGACATCTGTGTACATAAAACTTCAGGCACAGCTCTGATTTTTTTCTTTAGATAGATTCTTAGTGATGGGATTGCAAGAAAAACTAATTGTTTCAAGTTTCTGGCATATACTTCAAACCTGCTCCTCAGAAAAGTGATAGCAGTGTACATACACACTGGCTGAAACTAAGGCCTAAGCAGGCCCTTTTCTCCTGCATCTTTGTCAATCTGGGTTGCCTTTTTTTAGGCTTTACTAATTTGATGGGTGAAAATAGGTATCCCCTTGCTTTAATTTGCAACTCTTATCTTGTTGGTAAAGTTACTAGTTTGATTTCCATGTGATAAGTCACCAACCTCTGGTCCTTCAGGGTTGATCTAGAGAAGATTGTTGTTTCCTAGGCAGGTAGACCTGACTCATCTGCTTGTTTGACTGTTAATCACTAAAATGCCTACAGAGAGTGGGTGGGAGATGAGTCATTTGGTGCCACCAGACCAGCCACATTCCACTGATTTTCAAAGTGATTTTGCTATAGAAGCCCTCTAGAGGTTTCATTTTTCTAACAAATATTTCCAGTCTGCTCACATAGGTGTGGACTTTCTAACATGGACCCAAGCCTAGGGACCAGAGTACCCCAGTGTGGTCTCCTACATGAGCTTACATTCCAGGATTGGGCTGACTGGGTGGCCCATAAGAGACACATCCTGAGAAACTGGAACTGATTCCATCAACAGACAGCCAGTGGTGCCTTCTGTGTTCTGAGTTTCTAAGGGTGAGCTTTACCTGTGGCCTTTGCAGGAGTATTCTGCTTTCCATCTCTTCCTCGTTCTGTGGTGACTACAGAGAATCATGAGTCTCCCTACCTCATGAGGCATCAGTTAATGTACTGAGAAGCCCCAGAGGTGACAAGGCAGAAGGAGTCTGGTCTCCTGCTAGTCCACTTTCACACCAGTGGTCTTAGACAGATTCACCTCATCCGTCTGGTATTTTGTTTCTCTTCTCAGACATGAAATGGCTGGGCCAGATATACCTGTAAGCTCCCTTCCAGCTCCAAAAATTCAGTGAATCTAAGTGTGAATCTAATTCTAAAAATTCAGTGAATCCTCAACTAGCGAAGCATATCCTAAAACTCTCTGTTCGCAGCTTCCGAACCATGCTTGAAACATCACAAAGTCAGTGCTCAACAGTTCATCTTCTTCCTGTCTCTGCTCCCAGGCAGAGTGTTTTCCTCTATTATGGAAAGTTGCTCATCACAGCCTCTGTGGGTGAAACTGAGCAAAACTTTGAATAATGGCGAAGTCTTCCCCTAAGCTTCCCAGTGACTCCAAAAGAACAATGCTAATGTGGTCGATTCGTTGCCTACTTTTTAAAAACTTACTTATATTCTATAAAATATATTCAAAATAAAGTTTCACTGTTGGAATCTCTCTTAGAGAGCTTAAAAGAAAAGAGCTTAGCGTTTCCCTAAAACTTCTGTCTCTGGCCTCACTTTCCCTTCTCTTCCTGGATGCCTGGGGACAGGGGAAGGACCAGAATCCCTGCTCAAGGGCAGTGTTGTGCACATGTGCCTCTTTCCACAGTCAAGTGGAAATGATCTTTGACTTGTGTTCAATACTCAGCTGATTTTGAACAATTAAATTCACTTCACATTTTAAAGCAACTCAAAAAACCTTTTTGACCAGAGATTCAGAATTAGCCAGAAGAGCTCTCATAGTATACACCAGCCCAGGAATGGATGGAACACAAGGCATCCCACCAACTTGCTTCAGTGTTGAGGATAATTTTGGGGAACTCAATGTACATGTAAAAAAGACTCACCTATTTGCTTCTCTAAAGATGAGGCTGTATGCCTTTGGCTGATGGACTGGCAAAAGTGAAAGGGAAACGATGTTAATAAATATGAAGTTCTTTAAGCACAGGAGGCAAAATTGTCAAACAAACCAAGACCTGGAAAGATAATCCAAATACCTCAGAACTTTTCTTTCTTTCTTTCTTTCTTTCTTTCTTTCTTTCTTTCTTTCTTTCTTTCTTTCTTTCTTTCGTTTGTTTGAGTTGGAGTCTCATTCTGTCTCCAAGACTGGAGTACAGTGGCACACTCCCGGCCACCGCAGCCTCAACCTGCTGGGCTCCAGCGATCCTTCCGCCTCAACCTTCCAAGTAGCCAGAACTACAGATGTGCGCTACCACACCTGGTTAATTTTTTTTTTTTCATTGTAGAGACGAGGTCTAGCCAAGTTGCCCGGGTGAGTCTCGAACCCACGGGCTCAGGCAATCTACTCGCCTTGGCCTCCCAAAGTGCTGGGATTACAGGCTGAGCCACCGAGGCCGGCCCTTTTTTGAGTTGGTATCTCACTCTGTCACCCAGGCTGAAGTGCAGTGGCACAATCATGGTTCACTGCAGCGTCGATCCATGAGCTCAGGAGATCCCTCCGCCCCAGCCCCCTGAGTAGCTGGGACTACAGGCACATGCCACCATGCCGGGCTAATTTTTTGTAGAGAAAACTATGTTACCTAGGCTGATCTTTAACTCCTGGACTCAAGTGATCCTCCTGTCTAGCCCTCCCAAAGTGCTAGGTTTACAGGAATGACCCACTGCACCCAGTCAGAACTTTTTCTAACTCAGGCTTTGGTCAAGCAAATGATCCTCACTGTCCCTCAGTTTTGTGACTTGTACCAACATTTTAAGTATTTTCAAGAGAATTTGGTCATTTGAATAAATTTACTTTCCAACAAGACTCAGGGTTTTTGCTTGTGTGTCCTTGCTTCTCCCATCACTAGGCATGAGGCAGTGAGTGGCTCAGCAGGCTGAGCTGACATGGAGAAATGGGCCGTTTCGCTCTGATTCTGCACAAGACAAAATAATCCTCACTCATGTGAGCCACCACTTCGCTGCTTACAGAATAGAATGCCTAAAGCAACCTACTTCTAAGACAGAAAAAGAGAACTGAAAAGCTTTGCAAGCAAAGTAGTGGACTGTGTGGTCATGGCAGCCCTCCACCCCCACCCTCTCCGCAGCAGTGCTGCCCTATGCAGTGACCCAGGCACAGCCAGCCACAGCCAGCAACAGTCAGGCTTACCTCTCGGAGTTCTGCCAGCTCCTTCTGCAGGTGGAAGAGCTGAAACATCCCCAGCCCCAATCCAACCAGGGTCACCAGAAGCATGAGAAACATCACAAGAAGACACAGGCCTGTACTGCCATCCCTCCTCTTCTTCACGGGTGGCAGCGGTAATGAAGGCAGGGGCGGCGGTGGCGGTGGTGGTGGCGGTGGCCTCCTTTGACCAGGTCTTCTGGGCACAGAGGTCGGACAGGGGAGAACTGAGCCTGGCGGGGCCCAGGGAGAGCTGGCACTGCTGTCCACCCAGTAGATCTGGGGGTATGGGTAGTTGAAGGGCTGCTGCATGGCAGCTGGTGACTCTGGCCGGCCCCAGCAAATGGTTTTACTTCTCAATTCTGGGGAGGCTGAAGTGTCAAGGATGGGCCTGCTGCTGACTGCACAAGAGAAGGGATGCTGGATTTCTCTTATAGAGTTTCCATAGCCAAGGGAAACACCTCCCCTTCTCTCTGTCTCTCTCTGTTTCTGTGTCGCAGAGAGACACCCACTCACTTTGCTTCTGCAGCTGAGAAGCCTCAAGAAGCTCAGAGCAACCCCTGGAAGTTTCCACCCACAGTTTTTTGTGAAAGCTTTCAAATTGCTGTCGCTGGGCTACCTGAAAAGGCCTGTGTGCTAGACTCACCTTCCTGCCTTCCCCAATGGGGCGTTGCCCTGTGGGTGTGACCTGTTCACAGCTGGGGGGGCGGGGAGCGGTGCTCAGACACTGATGTGGGGGGAAGACCATAGAGTCATGGCAGAGAAGCCACTCCCACATCTTATCTTTTTGCTTAAGCAAATCGTCTCCTGCCACCACCCCATCCCCACGCCAAGTACTATTTGCCCTGGTATTGCGAATCACCAAAAGTGACAGGTAAAAAACCCACCCCACTCACTGTGGAGATTAGATCAGGGGTTGCCAAACATTGGCCCATGGGCTTTGGGGAGCTAGTCTGTCTGTACATCGCAATGTTTTTCTTTACACTGGCTGCACACTTTTAAAACTGATATCAAAAATAAATATTTCTATTGTCAAATGATCTTTTTTTATTTTAAAGATGTGGGGTACAATTCAGGGTTTTAGGTACATACGTAGTCATCATACAGGTAAAGTTTGACAGTATAAAAAAGATATTTCTAATATATATGTCTACATATATTTTTTAAATAACTTTAAAAGACATATTTCTATTCTCTTTTGAAACATCTGACTATTAGGCGCCCTCAAGGGCATCTCTTAACCCCAATCAACCGGATAGGAGTTGCCCGCGAATGCGGAACAGGCACTCAGGAACACAGGCACTTGGGGACACAAGAGCTCGGGGACACAGGTGCTTGGAGACACAGGTGCTTGAGACCCCCAGCTGCAGCCCACCCCACCTCAGCATGGGAAAACCCTGCCTTGTCCCTGCAGGCCTTTCCGTGTGCAGCCCCTGCCAGGTGTGCCAGGTAAAATACATACACATAGTGCCCCATTAAAACCCGGGTTTCAGGCAAGGAATAAGCAATTTTTATGACAAGTATGCCCTAAGCATCAAATGGAATATACTAGAAGGTCATTCATTGTTTATCTGAAATCCAGTTTTAATTCTGTTCTGTTCATCTGTTCTTGACCCAGCTCACCTCACCCTTTCCCCATTCACAGGCCGAGAACCTCCAGGCAGTTGGCTTCCGTACCAGCCATTCTCCCATCCAAGCCTTATAAACCCCCCAGAAGCCTCTAGTTTTCATTCACGGCAGAGCTCTACTCTTGAATTGTACTAGTTTTTGTGTCCCGCATGGGAATTTCTGTCATTCTGGCTCTCCCCCCGCCCCAGCCAACACAAGGTGTGCTCTCCCTGCCACATTCTGCCCACTCCACTCCTCAAACCATCTGTGGCTCCTGAGCTGTTATTTGTGGTGACGACTTCAACTTCTCCCTTGTCCTCTCCCAGCCTCTAGCTCGTCGCCAGTACTGTGGCTTTTACCTGCGTCCTGTCTCTCATCCGCCCCTCCGCACGCTCTCTCACTCTCAGTTTTCTCCTGTCACTGCCTGGGGTCAGACTTTGATTGTCTCTCGCTGGTAACACGGCAGTGGTGTTCTAACCCCACCACCAACCTTTCCCAAGCCCAAGTCGCCTTGTGTTCTAGCAGGGAAGTGGCCTCATTGGGCTGCAATCCGGAGCTCTAGAGGTGGCTCAGCAGCAGAGAGAGGTGCGTGAGCAAAGGAACCGCCGTGAACCTTCCCACACTCAGAGGAGAATCGAAAAGTTTAAATCGTCCGGTTGTCCCCAGAGGTAAACGAAGGCACCTAGCTACAAACATGTATCCTATGAATTTAATTTCACTAAGTGCTTTCAGGAGGCACGTCTGAATCTCTCGACATCACCCCAGCTGCTTAAGACTCTCTCCTCCCACATCTTCATCTCTGCTTGGCATTATCCACCTTTCTAATTTCTGCCGAGTGTGATGGCTATAAAGTTGCCTATCGTTGTCTGTTGATCTTTCCTTCTCTGCTGTCTTGCAAAATTGAACTTTGGTCCTGTACTGTTAGGCATTCAAATTGGCCATTTTAAAATTGGGTTTCTTCTCTCTTTTGTGCCAATTTACAGGATCTTTTTGTTCTTTGGATTCTAGATATTACTCCATAGCTGCTTTTAGACATTGCAAGTATCTTCTTCCATGTCATTGTAGATTTTATATTTAGGCTTTCATCCATCTTTGGTGAGATGAGGCAGGTGTCTGTCTTTCTCCAAGTATGAACCAACTCTCCATACAACCCATCTTTCCCCTCACTAAGTTGCAGTGGCATGGCTATCACATATCAAGTTTCCACAAAGACCCTTTTTCTGGACTGTTATTTTGGTTGCATTGATCTTTTACCTATTCTGATAGCAGGATCTTACAGTTTTCATGATTGTGGCTTTGTGGACTGTCTTGAGAATTGATATGGCAAAATTCCTTCCTCTTTGCTCTTCTTTTAAAACTGACATTGCTATTTACATGTATTTAATCTCCCACACATAGGTTAGGGAAAAAAATCATGTTCCTAAAGTGTCCTACTGGACTGCTATAATTTTGGGAAAGTGTTACCTTAAAAATGTGTTTGCCCTATTAACATATCTTGTTTTCCATATCTTGTTTTGACCTGAAAAACTTTTCCCCAGAGTAGTCTCATACAGTCTTTCTTAGATGAATTGCCCGATATCTCGTAATTTTGCTGATTATAAGTGGTGTCTTATTTTCTTTCTTTCTTTCCTTCTTTTTTTGAGGTGGAACCTCACTCTTGCCTAGGCTAGAGAGCAGTGACACGCTCACAGCCACCGCAGCCTCGACCTGCTGGGCTCAGGTGATCCTTCTGCCTCAGGCTTCCAAGCAGCTGGAACTACAGGCATGGGCTACCACGCCCTGCTAATTTTTTATTTGTTGTAGAGACAAGGTCTTGCCACGTTGCCCAGGATGGTCTCAAACCTGTGGGTTCAGGCAATCCTCCCACCTCGGTCTCCAGTGCTGGGACTACAGGCTTGAGCCACCACGCCCGGCCAAGTTCTGGATTTTTAAATATGTATATATAGTATTATCAGTGGAAAAATTGACCATTTTAAATCTTCCTTTTTAATCCTTATAGCTCATTCTTTTTCCTTTTATTTCAAGCTGTCCCAGACCCTGAGGACTATTTAAAACAATAACAGTGATTTTGGACATCTTTGTCTTGATCCTAATTTTAAAAAGACTGCATCTAAAGTTTCTCATCCATATGACCCAGCAATTCCCCTATTGGGAATATACTCGGAGGAACTCAAATCATTCTACAAAAAAGATACCTGCACACGTATGTTTGTTACAGCTCTATTCACAATAGCAAAACCCCATCAAAGCTGGACTGGATTTAAAAAAATGTGGTACATATACACAGTGGAATATGATGCAGCCACAAAGAAGGACAAATTTATGGACTTTGCAACAAATTGGATGGATTTGGAATCGATCATACTCACAGAAACAAAGAACTGAGTTCTATATGTTCTCACTCATAAGGTGAACTTGAACAATTATAAGGCTGTGGGGAGGCGATTGGCAGTCGCAGAAAACTGTCAGGGGAAGGGGGGTGGAACTGGAAGTTGGGGGAAGCTGCTAGGAGATGGAGGGGCATACCTCATCAACAAGGGTAACTGCATGATCAATGTTTGTATATCTAGCCCTGAATTGTACCCCACATCGTTATAATAATTAATTAATTAAAAAAAAATAAAAATAAAGTTTCTCATAATAAGCATAATGTTTTCCAAAGGTTTTTACTGTGAATATATTGCCTTTGTCAATAAGAGAAGTTTGCTGTTAAATCATCAGGATCTCATCAGCAAACAGATGGAACACTCAGATTAGGATAATTTAAGAAGAGCTTTAAAAACAGTATTGTTTACAAACACGTAGGTTGGTATAGGGAAACCAAAAGGTATAGTACAACGCTCTAGAGCCAGAAGGAGCAGGGTTGTGATGACCATAGGCAAGGAGAGAGGGTACTTTCTAGAATAAAGGAGAGAATGTGTGGGGAAGACAGTCGACATTTGCAGCCAGCCCATCACTTTTCTTCAGGAGCCACATTCTACAAGGAGGTATTAGCTGTCGTGGATGATTTGTCAATGTGTGGAAGAGTTGGGGTGGGAGACAGTGGCTGAAGCCCAGGAATCCAGGAGTCACTTGTTCCCTTCCAAGTGAGTCTCAGGAGTTGGTGGTAAAACACTCCTCAGGATGAAGAGCCTCTGGCATTGTAATGTAGGCCCAATCCTTCCCACCTGCCAAGTGACTCTTCTGAGGTTCTGCCTGACATTGTTATTTTCCAAGAGATGTCTCCCTATGTCAGAGTCACCCTCCTGCTGTTAACGTGTCCCCCTCAGCCAGATTCCGCCCCATCTTGACGTGTCACCCCATAGACCTCTGCTGGCTCTAGGTAAGCACTGCTGTTCATCTGCCTCGCAGTGACAACCAAGTGACGTGGAAAAAGAAATATGCAGAATCATAAAGCTCCAACACCAACCTATCACCCTGTGGCACCTGACAGGGTTCCCACTGAGCTGTTATACACAGACATCCACATCACCCCAAGACCAAGAGCCATCCTTCTCAAGAGGGGACAAGAAGGGGACCAAGAATTTCTCAGGTCTGTCAGTTTCTCAGGTCCATCAAGCTACTCCTTGTTTCTTGGAGTTGATTCGGGAAATGAAGTCAGAAACCCATGTTAGTATGTAACTTTGTCAGCCCTGCTACATTTCTTATCTCTGTCGCTTCTAACATTATTGTGGGATTAATTGAGTTAATTCATGTGAGACATTTAGAAGAACGTTCCTGGCATATAGCCAGTGTTCTACAACTGTTAGGCATAATTATTATTTATCACCATCATCATTAGTAATATGCACAATGATCCTTCAAAAGTGAGTAGGTGTGTTCTCTTCATGGATGAGTAATTGGACTTAGA